CTAAGACCCTCCACCCCCCATCCCACCCTCGAGAAATAGCGCAATGATTAAAACATGAACTTTGTACCCTGCCTTGTTTTGAGTATGGATTCTGCCACTCAATAGCTCTGTCTTCATTTTTCCCCATCTGTAAAATGAGGATAATAATGGAACCTGCTATTCAAGGCTATTGTGAAGATTAAATGAAATAACTGCATGACAAGCAGACAGCACAGTTCTCGAGTGCATAGAAAACCTCTAATACATGTTAGCTATTATTAGCGGTGATTATTCTTAGATACCTCAATCATCCCCCGCATCAAGAGTTTAGACAACATGACCTTAAGATCCCCTGTGGTTAAACTGTCTTATGTCAAATTTTAAGGCTTTATCTCTAATCTTCTTTGGAACAAGCCTAAAACCTTTTAGAGGGATGTCCCTTCCTTCTCCTCTTTCTGACTTTCACTTGATTCCCTCCACTTCTTTCTCCAAAAAGACCAAACCAAGAAGCGTATGGCCTGATTAAAATCATGGAGGTGAGATTTTTCTCTTACCTTTACCCAGATAGGAGGGAACATTTTTGTTGTTATTATTTATTTAAAGCAAAATATTAGCCGGATCTAAAGTTACAAGAAAGGAGAAATGTGGGAAGCCTTTTCTCTCTTTTCATGATAAAGACAGCATATTCTTGGCCTCTTCAGACTTCATGAAGAGAACTAGGTAAATTTCCTCATGAAGTGCTGTAACCCAGCTCTGGGTCTCATTTGCATAGAAGGCATGAGGGACAGTCAAATTTCCTTTCAAGACCGGACAGGTCGTTTCCATACTCCTAGTTAGAACCTCAAGTCCATGAAATGTTGTCTCTAATAAGTTAGTAAGAATTTACTAAGTAAATAAAACTTGAACTATTTTGAAAGGCTAAAGCAGCTGAAACAAATAAAAGTGCTCCATTTCTAGGAAGCAGAGCTTTCTGAACTGAGGGTAAAGAGAGAACAAGACAAAAGGCTCTTTTAAAGAACAAGGTTAACTAGGATTGCCTTGGTTTTTAGCTCAAAATGTCTCCTATGCTAGAAAATCTTCCTCAGCCTTGTACATATGGGACATTTGGTCACCCTAAAATAGAGACTTAAGTTGTGGTTGATAAAATTAAAATTCAGTGGAAAAGCATACTTATATAATTTCCCAAATTATATATCTTTAATAGAAATAAACTAATATAAATGTAAGTAGAAAAAGCATAATGACTAAATACTTTCATAAGAAGTTATCCATTTCTAGGCAATTCCTGGCCAGTGTATCCATGTAGTTACAGCGGTTCATTTGGGAGCTCTTATTCTAATTGCAAACTTGATTCATACTAGGAAATAATTAGCTTTTAGAGGGCTCTTTTTAAAAACCCAAACCTTAACGTGACACCAAATATCCTATGGGCCAAGAAAGGAGAAGGTTTCCAAAGGAAGTTGCTTAACATTTTCAATGATGGAAGGTCAAGGGAGGAAAAAGGTAAGCTGACCTTCTTCTAGAGAGCAGTGCTGATGGCATGGTGGGGGTGGAAGCCAGATTACTGGGCCCAAGGAGGGAACCAGTGGGGAGGAGGCAGACTGGTCCTAGGCCATTAATGTAAGATATTTGACAGAGAGAAGAAGTAAATCAATGAGACAGTAGCTAGGGGGTTATCATGGTCAAGAAAAAAAATCTCAAGTTGGAGGAAAGTCAAGTATGCTGAAGACAGAGCAAAAGAAATCAGGGATGGAAGCTTCCTTGGAACTTGTCACTAGTGTAGCAAGGGGTAAGAGCAGGGTATCCCTGCTGCCTGGGCCATTCAGACTGTTACTGACAGCTATTTAAGTAGAAAACTCTTTCACAGAGGGCTCAGGAGTCTCCCCTCTAGCTAGTCACATCATTTTAGGCCTACCTCAAGACCCAGACTCTTCCCATCAGCTTTCCCACTCCCCTAAATGACTTGTGCCCTAGCAGAGGGTTTGCACTGTGAGAGAAATCCAATGCGCATGAAATGTTATTGCAACCTTATGGCAGAAGCTAAACAGAAAACAGTCTCAGGGTAAGAAAGACAAGAAAAAAGGTTTGGGAAAGTTTATAGACTAGGTCCATGGCACTGAATAAACATTCAAGGCAAAACAAAAAAACAAAAAAAAAACTTTGAATAATCATAATCCCTTTTTTCCAAATGGATATCCCCCACCCCCTCCGGCTTTTAGGAAAACCCTGACATGTACAGGGCCTACTCCTAACATTTGCAAGGCCTGGGGCATGAGTACAAATAAAGGCCCATATACCAATATGCCTAAATATTTAAATGTGCTACACCAGGCTAACACATGTGGTATATCCATGCCCCTTCTCATCCTAACCTGGGTTCTGTCCAGCACAGTGAGGAGCCGGTGGTCACAGAGGGGCGGTCAAACTCCATCCACACCCCTGAAGCCTGGAATGTGCACAGTCAGTAACTCCTGAATGACTATGAAAGACTGCCCCGCCTTCCCCAAGCAGGCTTGGGGCTGTTTGCACAGGGATTTCAGGGACCTTCACACCAAGCCTGTTCTAGAAGGCTGAGGGGGCATGCCCTTCATGCCCCTTGGCCTATCAGAAACTTTTCCACAGAGGTGGGGTGTAACAAGAGGAGGATCAGGTTGGTTGCCCAGGGCAGGATCTTTCTTGCCTGGGTTTAAGAAGCAATCTGGACACATTTTCTTTTCCTGGAGTTTTAGCATTGCATTTCCTGATCTGACTTTCAAAGAACTCTTGGACGAGACTTTTTACAACAAGGCTTTCTATAATTTTGACTGCTAACAGCACATAGCAGGCTGAGCGGCTTGGAAAGAATGTTATTCACGCCAGGCTTAGGTGCTTCAGTGAGGGCCCAAAGGCCCCAAACCGGAGTATTGTCTGGTCCTATCCAGCTCTCTTTATCAGATAAAACAAATAGCAGATTATCTCCTGATAGAGGAAAAACACCATTTTCAAAGACATTTAAAACAGAAGTATAATTTGCTGATGTCTTCTAAAGGGGAACAGTTTACTACAGGTTATTTAGATCTAATCCAAACCAGGTAAGGAGCCATGCCTTCTCCAGTCTCTTTCCCCAGGCTGAGGTTCAGATTTGGGTTAGAAGTAGCTGAAGGGTGAAGGATTTGGGGTCTGATCATGAAGGTGATACCTTCAGGGGAATAACCCCACATGGAGAGTTTTCACATCTGGCTCTACCCTTTACCTGGCTGGCTGGCTATGAAGCTGCCTAATGTCTTGGGCCTTTTTTCTCCTCTGTGAAAAAAAAAGGTCAGCCTAGGCAATTTAAAACTTTTCTTGGGATACGAGGCCAGGGAACCCTTGAGCAGTTTGATCTCTCAGAAAGTCCTTCAAGGTGAACACAGCTCAGCTCTCTCTGCTAATATACTCACATCTTGCCTCTGAGACTCAACTGGTTGCAGGGCATCCTTCAGTAACAAGATGTATGACCCAGGCCTGATAACCATCACTGGGGAAAAGTTATTTGCTGGATTTCCAGCTGAGATGTTCAGTGGTTCTCTTTGAAGAGACAAACTATTATTACTGAAAAAACTGCACGGAATATGGGTCCCCAAATAACAGCATCCTCATGCATGGGGGAGAGCCACAATGTGTTAAGTGGTGCATTTAACCAATTAATTCAGTTTTGTGTCTCTGCAAACTATTTGCTTCATTATTAACTAATCTGGAGACAGTGATGGAGGAGACTTAATATTTAAGGATCTAGTAAATTCTGAAGAACTTATTTACTTAGCATAGATGTAATCTCAAAGAAACCTCAAAGAGGAAACAGCTGCCATTTTATTGAACCTACAGCATAACAAGTATAGTACATTTAGAAAGTAGTATTTGTTTTACGGTGTTCTTGTGAAGATAAATGAGACAGCCCAGAAAAAAACACTGCTTCACAGTGCGCGCTCCCATCCACACCGCCCCCCACTCCCCCAGGCCGGCTGAGAGCCCACTCAAAGCCTTCCCCAGGGACGCTGAGAACGTGTCTCAGCTGGTCTGATACAAAATAGGGACCCAATAAATATTTATCAAACGAATGAATGGCTGTCTGCATTTCTCCTTTTGTGTAGTCATACTCTGGTTCCAGGCCCCTGAATTTTTCCAGTTCTATTGCCGTGTGGATGTAGGGTGCGCGAAGGGGAAGGGGGCGGTGGTAAAGAATCAGGGAAGACGGCGGATCCGACAGTCGGGGGAAGAAGGAAAAGAAATCCTCAGAGGCGCTGGGCCAACAAAGAGTCAGACGCAGACGAACCCAACCAGGAGGGCCCCGGGACCCCGATCGGCCGCCAGGACCCGATCGGCCGCCAGGACCCAATCCCCGCGCTCCTCCCGCCGAGCGCAGTCCACGTCCCGGGCCG